CACACACACACACACACACACACACACACACACACGCACGCACACACGCACGCACGCACGCACGCACGCACACACAACAAAAAGGAACAGTCGAGTGACGCAAACACACATGCACTGTGATCCAAGACAGATGAAGCATCTTCATCTTCCTCTTTATCTCTCGGATAAGCACAGGGACACACCAAGAGGACAGCACAGACAGCGCATTGGGACAGAGGAGCCAAAGCGAAACAAATCTGACAACACAACCTTGAACTGACTGGCACGAACAGACGTACCACGACACCTTTGGTTGATTAACCAGATCCACAACTGTTGTAATGAATTCAAGCTACTAACAGGATTTCCAATACAAACGACTCTGAAAAAAAGCTAATATAATGACATCAGCAGCACACAAGGAAGCAACTTAAAAAACTCCATAACTCATCTAACCTGACCTGCAAAGATTCGAAGCGAATGTCAGGCGCCTTCTGGATTTAAGCGTGTCAGACTTGCGCAGGGTCCCTCTCTACTTGGGTTCTAGAGTACATTTTCTAGCGTAAAGAATCTATGAGCAATCTCTGACTATAACCCCATCATCGTCTGCTAAAAGAAGAGCGTAAACGTCGCACGCAGAGAACATGTACATGTGCGTACCCAGGACGACAGCAGTCGTGCGCCGGCAGAGAACACGCCGAATACCACAATATCGTCGATGGAGTGTGGAAAAGGAGAAACAGAGGGAGGCGGAGAACTGAACAGAGTACCAACACGTTCTAGCAAGAAACACAACGTACACGCTTCACGTTCTGTCAAGCAGCATCACGTTGTCACAAGCACGTGCCCCCAATGATCGGACAATCAGGACGTCACAGGAGAGCACTCGCTCAAGAAGAATGAACAGCAATGAAACAGCCAATCGATGCGCGTGGTCAGCCAGCAGCGGACCAGGTAACGAAACAAAAGGGAGCACAAGCGGCATCCATCGACGTGACTGACAATGAAAACCTTGCTATCACTTGAACGGGAAGGAGCACTGCGTCTCGGAGACACCACAAAGCCGACAGTTGTCCACGACAGCGACCTCATTCATACTTGGAACTCCATGAACACTCAGTTTCGGAGGTCGGGGGCAGAAGTTGACAAAAACGGGAAGCGATCCCGCCTGGATCAGAGCGAGGTCATTGCCTTTCCCGCTACCTGCCGCGTTGCCTGACATGCCGCCGCCGCAGAAATGCCCCTTGATGTCGGACAAGAGAGTGACGGCTCCACCAATGGTCTTCGCTCGGTTGCCTTTGAACTGCGTGTCGAACACGTAGACATCGGCGTACGTCTCGATACCGTTAGGCTCGATATAGAGAGCGCCTCCGGAAGCGCCAGCGGTGTTGCCGTCGAAAGTGCAGTCTTCGATCAGCAGCGGCTTCGACCCTACACCCCAAAGATAAACTGCGCCGCCATCGCCCATAGCGCTGTTACGGATGAACGAGCAGTTAGAGAGTCTGCCTCCTCCGCGTGAGGAGCTGCACAGAGCGCCGCAAGTGGAATTTGAGTTGTTATCCACGAAAACAGTGCTAGAAACATTGAACGTGGGATCGCCAATGCCTAAAGCGACGACGGGCGCCCCTCTATTTCCCCGGAAGACACAGTCCTTGATAATCACGCTGCATTTTCCGCTAACGGCACCATCCCTCGCGTTGCGAAACTCCAGGTTCTCGAGCGTGATCCAACACCCTGGCGTGTATGTCATAAAGATAGCAAACTTCCCTGCGCCATCGACCACGCACTTGCGTCTTCCACAGCTGCCACGTAGCACAAGATTGCCTTCGAACGGGATGAGTGGGAGTGCTTTCGTCAAGAGCACATCGCCCGTCAACACGACCACCTTCCCTTTCCCCGCGCCGTTAGATGCAGTTATAGCTTTTGCCAGCGCGTTCTCAGCAGCGGAGGACGATGGAGAACGACGAGCTACTGGCCTCGATGGCGAGGCGGGTGCAGCAGCTCCCGACCCACCATCAGACGGCCTCGCCAATGCCAGAACCATACCTCCGACTACCATCGCCACCAGTAGCCACTCCCTCCATTTCTCCATCTTTTGCTTCTCTCTCTCTCTCTCTCTCTCTCTCTCTCTCTCTCTCTCTCAGACAGACACACAAACACACACTACTGACGCAGCCTGAAAGAACAATCGTCCCTTTCTCGACCTCTCACCCCACTCGCTCTCCGTTCCGTTGCGTCTGCCCGTTTATTCGCAGCCCTAAGGCTGCGGTATAGTGTGCTTCCGCGTCTGTGTCAAGGTCTCGCATTTTCTGTGGCGGGTGACCAGGACGCAAAGTGGGTTCTTAGGGGACAAATGTTTTTCGGGGACCGGTCCTTGGCAAAATTGCGGACTACCTATTGTCTACCGCGTGGGCACAGGGAACGCAGCCCTAAGGTACCCAAATCAATGAGACTAAGAGCTAACACGAGAGAGAGAGAGAGAGAGAGAGAGAGAGAGAGAGAGGGAGATTGAGAGAGAGAGAGAGAGTTTTGTTCCATTTATTGTTATGAGTGTGAGAGAGAGAAAGAAATAGAGAGANAGTTTTGTTCCATTTATTGTTATGAGTGTGAGAGAGAGAAAGAAATAGAGAGAGAGGGAGGGGGGCGGGCTACCAGAGAGAGAGAGAGAGAGCGAGAGAGAGAGAGAGAGAGAGAGAGAGAGAGAGAGACTGAATGGCAAAATTAAAATATGGCTCAAATTGGGGCCGTGATCTATTTTGCAATTCGAATGATTGTTTTAAATTTATTTAGCATTTTTCCTGGAAAGATCATAATAAAATCTACAAGTACTTCAATTTTCAGGTTTTTTCACGCATTCTTTTGAGCGTGAAAGCTCACTGAATTTGGAGTACTTTTTTAGTTGGCCCAGGCATGGCTGAGTGCCAAAAATGGAAAATGTGCCGAATCGGTGCGACAATTATTTCGCAGTCTAAATGATTTTTTGTGAATGTTCTATTATTATTTCTGGAAAGAACACGACCTCATCTATGGATTCTCAAAATTTCAAATTTTTGTGCATGTTCGTCCGAGCACAGAAAATCGGCAAAGTTACCTCTTGCAAAATGCCTATTTCGTTGTGCCAGACTTCCCTGTTTTGAGAAGACGGGGCTCAATGCCTGGGCCTGAGGGCCCTTTTGAAGTTCACATGCCCTCACTTATTTTTGGGGTCCGCTTCTACCCGGGGACTGGTCCAACGCCCCCCACTTCTTTTTGGGGTCCACTTCCACCCGAGGACCGGTCCTTCCGTTTTCCAAAAGTCCCGCTTCTACCCGAGTTAGCTGTAGGTAGTCCGCAATTTCGTCAAGGACTGGTCCCGCAATTGTTTTTTCCCCCTAACAACCCACTTTGCGTCTTGGTCGCCCGCGCCGAAATGCGACCGACGCCTTGACACAGACGCGGAACCCCACTAGACCGCAACCTTAGGGCTGCGAAGACAAGAGAGAGAGAGAGAGAGAGAGAGAGAGAGAGAGAGAGAGAGAGAGAGAGAGAGAGAGAGAGTTTTCTTCCATTTATTGTTATGAGTGTGAGAGAGAGAAAAAAACAGAGAGAGAGGGAGGGGGGGACTTACTAGAGAGAGAGAGAGAGAGAGAGAGAGGGGCGGCGGGGACTACTCTAGAGAGAGAGAGAAAGAGAGAGAGAGAGAGAGAGAGATAGAGAGAGAGAGAAAGAGAAAGTGAGAGAGAGAGAGAGAGAGAGAGAGAGAGAGAGAGAGAGAGAGAGAGAGAGATTTTGTTCCGTTTGTTGATACG